TGTAACGCCCGTGAACCAAAATGTGTATTTTTGGTGGTGCGTCGAGCGACGCAGGAGAGTTGCGTCGAGCGACGCAGGGGATTTCGCGTCGAGCGACGCAGAGGAGATACGTCGAGCGACGCAAATCGTTAATCAGACCGGGAAGTCGGGTTTGATCGCGCGGTTTGCGCATTGGTTTAGCGGAACTTTAGGTCTTGATATAAAAGGCAGAAACAGTGTTCTGGCCGTTTTTGGGTGGATCAGAAATCAGAGAGAAGGGTTGAGAGAAAACTAAGTAATTATGTGAGAGGGACAGCTTTTGTTCGTAACTTTGAGAGGGCAAACGGCTGGGCTGTTCTAGCCGGATTGGAGCGACTTTTGGTGGGTAAGTTCTCCGATCTCTGGTCGTGTTATAGGCGAAAACGGTTCGTCTTTTGGTTGATTATTCGCCAAGTTATGGCTGTTTGAACTCGGTGGGTCTGTGCAGATTRTTATCTGCRATYAGTYGGGTTCAGAGGRGAATTCCGATYGAACCAGAGRGAGTCTGGAGRYGATCCRCATACCGACGCGTAGCTGTGTGTGTCTGGTTTCCRGAACAGTCGCCTGTTTCRGAATTGGACCAGTGGTTCGTSGTGTACGAGGGCTTTAGTGAACGTCRTTCATTCGTTCATTTCRATTCTTCGAGGTGAGTGCGTGATCGTGGGTTGTGTGGGCATAGGGATAGATGGAATGCGTTTGATTGTTGTTTTCGTGTGTTCTATGACTGGATCGTGCAKGTGACTYGATAAATYGCGRYGGAWTCGRGCCACGAGAGGATAGGCTCGTKTCTGTGAAAGTCGCGTCGACCGACGCCAGGGTTGTGCGTCGCTCGACGCTGACGTTGTGTGTCGACCGACGCCAGGGTGGCGCGTCGCTCRATGCAGACRCTTYGCGTCGACCGACGCCTAGTGGTTGCGTCGCTCGACGCAGAGTTCCTGTACGGGATCTTGATTGGTTGTTCTTATTGCTTGCTTGTGTGCTCATCCTGGTATTTATCTTTCGTATGTCTATACTTAA